GCACATCCTGTGCGAGCCTGTTTAGTGAAGGCCAGGCCACCCAGCTTCGGGGTTATGAGCAGGCCACACCTGTGCCACAAATGCTCCCAAGCGCATGGATTTACTTTTCCCATAGGAGGCCTAGTCCGTTTTTCACTTCACTGGGAAATCAGCTGGGGAGGAAAAGCTCCGTTAGGGCAGCCAGATCATCCGACCCAGTTAGTTCAGCCCTGTCAGGAGAAAGGTGAAGTAAAATTCCCAGAGGTAGCAGATGGACTCCGTGGCACAATACGACGGATGATGCAGATCCCGTTATTGGACGAAGCAAAGAGTTTCTGCTCAGGGATTGTCTGGCATTTTGCTCTCCATACCAGAAAAGCCTGTGCGTTTTCTTTTCCCCCCATGAGGTTTCCAGCAGCAGGTCTATTTATAAATCAGGCAGGATTCCAAGCCAAACATAAGGGGATACCAAGGCTCACTCACTTTTTGGAATCAACAGAATCTTGCTCTTTTTATGTTTGCTTTATAAATCAATATGTCTTCTCACATAACAGACTCGGTTAATCTTCCCGTTAAATTTATTATGCCAGAAACACAACTTGCCTTTCCCCAGTGGTTTTTCTTTTGTTAAAAAGGTCACCACCATGGTTTCTTATTTTTAATGGAGTGAAGGCTAAATAATTAGGAGAGGGTTTTTTTTTTAAAGTGTTGGTCTCTAGGGCTCACTTTTGGTTGTTTGTTTCCTTGAGTAAAGTTGGACATGCTCATCACTGAAAAAGAATGCCTGGTTAGCCAGCCAATATGCTGAACATCTAGGAAGACACAAGTTCAAATCCCTACACATCCATAAAGTTCACTAGAGCGAGTTATGCGCAGCCTGGCCTACCTTGCAGGGGTGTTGTGAGGACAAAATAAGTGGAGGGGGAGCCACACATGTTTCCTTAAGTGCCTTGGAAGCAGAATAAAAATGTAATCTCTAGGCTGTACCGCTTGAGGTATTCTTCACCGGATAGTTAAACTTGAACAGTTGGTCTGTTAAAATCACAATGTGTAGTTTCTCCTTTTCAACTACAGTGGAATGCACTGTATGTTCAGATGCTTCTTCATGAAAATAAGAGAGCCAGAGGTGGTGAAGCAGTTAAGAGTGTGGGATTGGGTCTCAGGGGATCTGGGTTCTAGTCCCCGCTCAGCCATGAAGCCAATTGGGTCACTTTGGGTCAGTCACAGACTCTCAGCCTGACCTACCTCGCAGGGGTGTTGTTGTAAGGATAAGATTGAGAGGAGGCGGAGAATGATGTAAGCTATCTTGCGTTTCTTGGAAGAAAAAAAGACAGGATATAGATTTAATTAACCTCTGGCCCATAGGTAACTAGCACATCAAGAAAATGCTGTTATTTTAAAAAACTGACAAACCATGGAAGTATGCATTTCCTTGTCCATCAAGGACAGACCAGATCCTGTCCTGGGAAAGGGGTAGTGCGAGTCAATCAGGTCTAAAATTGTAATAGTATAAAGAGAAATTGCTCAGCACGAGAATTGCTGGCAGCAACCCGATACTAATGGCTTTGCTTCTAGCACGCCTGAAAATAATACAGACAAGTTTCAGTATTCAAACTGGAATGGGAAGCCAGCAGCGCCGAGCCCTTAACAAATCTGCCATTTGATCGCTGGGAAGTTCCCTCCAATGAGGTTTCTGGGCTAATTTATTTCCGTGCATTGCTGGGAATGTTTGCTTGTATGAGAAACTGGCCCTGCAGAAAAGGAAAAGATCCAGAATTCCCGCTTGGATCATAACTGCGTAATCTGGACAGCCTCAGGGAAGGGTATTTCTGCAGCTATTCTTGCAGTCGCTTCAGAGTGCTGTTGAAATGGCAATGCCAAGGCAGTGTGGCTCAGTGGTTACCAAGCTGCCTTCCAGGCCAGTCCACAGCATCTGGTTCCACCTCGGCTAGCTAGCCAAAGCCAGTGGCACATTGCCCATTCAGTGCAACCACAGGAAATCCTAGGGCTATATTAAATATAAAGTGATTATATTTTTGACTGTTGTATATCCTATTTACATTTTAAGGGGATAAGTTCTTAATGTTGTCAGCTGATGGAGTCTCAGGAATGGAAGAGGCAGAATATAAGTAAATATGAGGATATGGAAATGACTTCTGCACGACAGAACCCTCCAGGGATTTGAGAGAGCAAGAAAAAGCCTTGCTATGTTAGACTATCTGCACAGGCCTGCAAGCCGAATCTGGCTAACCCCTGGTCCCAATCCAGCCCTCTGCTGTTCTCCCCAGTGCAGCCCCAGGGGCTTCTCTCAAATTGAATTTGGCCCTTGGGCTGAGAGAGGCCGTTCATGGTTGATTTTAGTCTGGGGTCCTGCTTCTCCTGTTGACCAGCCTGATCCTGCATGGAAGGGCCCGGCCCTGACAGCACAACAAGCCCCATCTCCTCTTGTTCGCACCTTGGCAACATCAAGGTTCCATTCTGGCACGGCTGCCCAGGTATGAGGAAGCAAAGCTTGCCGGTGTCTAACAACCACTGAAAGAACAGCTCCCCCTTTGAAACCCTCTGAGGGCTAAAGGTCACCCGAGGTTCACTTTTTAGGACGCTGCGTCCCCTCTGCTTTCTTACAAGTAAGTGCAAGACCTGGATCAGGACCACTGCATGCAATGGGGTGAGGCTTAACCTTCCCTCTACCCTCCCAGCTGCATTCATTCATTTTTCATTTCATTTTTCAATTTATATCCTGCCTTTTTCCTACAAAGGGCTCAAGGCAGCTTACATCTCCTCCTCCATCTTATCCCCACAACAACAACCCTGTGAGGTAGGTTGGGCTGGGAGTCTGTGACTGGCCCAAAGTCACCCAGCTGGCTCCATGGCTGAGCGGGGACTAGAACCCAGATCGTCTGAGTCCCAGTCCCACGCTCTTAACCACTACACCACACTGGCATTCTCCACACTTATCCCCACAACAACAACCCTGTGAGGTAGGTTGGGCTGGGAGTCTGTGACTGGCCCAAAGTCACCCAGCTGGCTCCATGGCTGAGCGGGGACTAGAACCCAGGTCGTCTGAGTCCCAGTCCCACGCTCTTAACCACTACACCACACTGGCATTCTCCACACTTATCCCCACAACAACAACCCTGTGAGGT